GCAAATTCTCAAACTTTCAGTAATAGGGGGAACTTTTCTACATCAGTTGCTATCCCACACGAAATGGAACCACTTTGATTTTAAGTTACATTTTTTTTTAAAATTAAATAAGTGCTGTATTCTATATGAATTTCAATTTACTTTCAAAATTTTGTTTCTTGCGGGCAACATGGGATGGTTTATAATATCGAGAAGAGAAATTAAGCGTGTATTTGGTACATTGTATTGATTTGAAAAGATATTTTATGATGTATAGGATTAACGTGGAAGTATTATGATTCATATTTTTGTCTAAGTTTAAAATAAATGAAGTTACTTTTAAGTAATTTTGTTCTTTAGACATGATTTGATAAGGCTATCTCCAACTCTGCACCAAAATTTGCACCAAACCAAAATTCTTCTTCAATCATTACATCAAAATTTACACAAATGAATAGTGCTTTATTATTTTATTCATTCTTTCGATTTTTGATAATGTATTTATTAAAAAAATTATTTATTTATTTTATTACTATATATATTACTAAATCATATCTTCGTCAAATTAACAAATATATTGATTACTAAATTATTCACGTATCTTATATATTATGTTAAATTGACAAAAATAATTGATTATATTATTAATTTATGATAAACAATTACGTTAAATTTACAAAAATAATAAACTTTAATGATATAAACTTTATGTTAAATTAAACTTTAAATGTAAACTTTACTAATTAAACTTTACGTTAAATTAACAATTACATTAATTATTATTGATTATATTATTAAAAATAATAAACTTTAATAATATAATTAATAGTGTAATTAATTATTATATCATCATCATATAACGAAAATGATACAAATACCCTTAACCATTATCTTGAAAAATGAAAAATAAGGGCAAAGCGAACATTACACCATTTGGTGCAAAAAATGGTGTAATGAATAGCGTTGCACCAAATATTGCACCAAATTTTGGTGCGATTTGGTGCGATAGGACATGCATTGGAAATGCCCTAACTATTTTTATATTACTTTTAGTTTAAAAAAAATACTTATTTAATTTTAATTTTTACGTTATTATCAAAATAAGTAGCTTATTTTTGGCTTTAATTAGTAATAAAATTTCTTTACTTCAAACAAATTAAAATTTTGCATATAAAAAATTGATCACATAAATATGAGCTCTGCATTTGAGGGATGTGGTGTTTGATAAAGGGATATGGAGCGGACGCAAATTTCGATTAAAGGAAAATTGCATGGTGGTATATGTCACAACTAAATGCATTAACTATACAACTTTAGAAGTGGCAATATAGTATGAATTCACCTCTTTGGGAATGAGTTATTTGACAGGAATCGTATTAAAAGATTAATTATGATTAAAATAATTCAAGTATAATTTACTTTATTTTTTACATACATTAGAAAAATTGTTAAAGTGAAGTATGTGGAGCAATTTTAGAAGCAACGTACTTCGTTATCTTCATTGAATGGAGAACAAGTAGAGACAATACAATTATTGTACAAGTATTCCAGTCTAATCCTATATTACGACTATTCAAAGTAATTCCAGTTGCTTAATAATAAAATCCCTATTATGCCCTCGCAAAAGTGTGTTTGATTGGCATGAAAAATATTACCTAAAAAAGAAAATATTTTTCATCTTTTGTGGAAAATAAAAACCACCTCTACTCAAAGAAAATATTTTCCTTAAAAATAAGGAAAATTAGGCATATTTTCAAAAGTTGGAAAATGTTTTCCATGGAAAAAAATGACAATCAAGCACTCTAAGTAGGAATTTGACTAGAAAACTGATATTTTTCATGGAAAATAAATATAATCAAACACACCCTAAGTGTCAGGGGCAGTATATTCCAGCAGCGGAGCGCCTGGAGGAGGGTTAGAAAAAATGTACACTAGGTTGATACATTGGGAAAGAAAAGATCTACCCCAAAAAAAAAAAAAAAAAAAAAAAAAAAAGGGAGGGGGAAAAAGAAAAAGAACGTGTTATTAAAAATAAGAGAGAAGAATTAAATGAAATTTAACAAGAGCAAACGTGGGCCTAATGATCTATGCATTTCATAAATGAAACTCATTTTCTATTTTGCATTTAAAACATATTCAGATACTGTTTACTTTATTCCTGACAAAATTAAGCATTGTGAGATTTATCACATTTGTGTTTCTCATGTTGTTTGTCATGAGCAAATAATGCTTCATTTTAAGTGAGCTCTCATCCATTGGATGACAAAAATACCCATCAAATCCGATGTTCGTGGAGTCCCATCCTGAACTAGGTAAGAATTATCTGCTTAATCCGGTAATCGAGATGGGTATAGGACGGGAAATTTTGCCCCCGAGATAGATAAGGGTAATAGGGGCTCCGCCTCACCATGTTTAAATTTTTTTTTTCAAGAATTCAATACTTTAAATGAAAAAAATTTACGTAATTTCCTTAATTCTAAAAGAAGATGACAATTAAAATTATCTAAGAAATATGACAAACAATAAAAATTTTAGTTTAGCAAATATATTTGAATAAATTATCTTTTAAAAATAAATTTTTTAATTAAGAAATTTAATAACTATATTATTGTATCACTTGAATAAATGAGAGCAATAAAATAAATTATATATATATATATATATTAACGAGTACAAAAACGGGGCAAGAGCCCCGCCCACCCCATCTTGTCCTAAACAGGTAATAGGCAGGGGAACTCGTCCTGCCTCGTTCCCTGGCCCACTGTCAACCCTCAACTATACTCATCCACAACCCAACTTCAACTCTTTGCATGGGCGGAACTACATTTGAGACAGTGGGATATGATGCTATCACACTAAATTTAAAATCCAAGATTTTATGATAGATTTTTTAAAATTTTACACAATATTTAAAAAAAAAAATTCCTTGTAATTTTCAATTTTGCCCCGACGATTAAAATTTTGTGAAATTTGCCCCTACATTGTTCATTAAAATAATATTACACGTAAATAAAAAACTTTTTTTTTTTTTTTTACCACACATTTCAACATCAATCACTATTTCATAATACATTATTCTTAAATAATGGGGGCACAAATAAGCACAAAGTGTGAACAATGAAATATGAAAAGTCAAATTCGACCGCTTATGCCCAAACAGATGATGTGTTCGTAATTCATTTATGACCCAACCCAACCCATTCTCCAGGAAAATTCGTTTTCTCTACTCGTTTACAGGTGGAGCCCTGCCTTGCAATACTATATATAAATCCCAACGGTGATCAACAATTAAGAGAATCTACGTTAATTTGAGTGTGTAAATGAAGAAAATGGAGAAGGGCAAGTCTAAATCCCGTTCTTCTTCAACTAGGTCCCCAAAACTTGAAAGAAAAATTGTTGAGAAGAACAGAAGAAATCGGATGAAGATTCTCTACTCTAACCTACTTTCTCTACTTCCAGATCATGGCTCCATGGTACGTCTCTTTCTTTCTCTCTTTCACTTACACTTGGTCGGAAATAACGAATCTTGTAAGCTGCATGTAAATTTGAACCATCTAATAGGTTATGTTGTCACTGAACTTAAGTTGTCTCGCTAGTCGCTAAGGCTTGACATACTTCAATACAATATTGTACCAATTCAGCTAGAGAGTTTAATGGCTCAAGATTGCTCGGCCTCGTTTCCGAAAATCCAGTAGGAGCGAGCACAGCCGGCTATCAAGCGCCTCATGGCTCACCTTTTCTTTTTATTGAAAATTGCATTTTCACTCACCAATTTCGAGCCACTGGCATGAGGTTTTTGCTATTCAGTTCACAACTGTGGCTTGCCTTGAGTGCGTTTGTGCCGAGTTTGTGGAATGAACCGAGCTGGAGAGCAGTTCACCCCTCTTAACACTCCAAAATTCATAAAAAATTAAGTTGTTTCAAAAGAGAATAATTTATTTATGGGTATCAAATATGCATTTAACACATTGACTTTCATGTATGCAGCAAGAAATGCCATTACCTAATCAAATAGGCGAAGTTGTAACGTACATCGAGAGCTTAAAGATGAAGGTGGAGAAGATGAAGGAGAAGCAGCAGTCATTGTTTCCAAGAAAAAGATCACATTCTTGTATTACAAGTGAATTTCAAGGAATCACAAAGTCTTCACCGCCTCTAGTAGAAGTTCATGATATGGGACCAAATATGGATGTTATTTTAGTTTGTGGGCTTGATGATTTATCAAAATTTTACAGCATAATTCACTTACTTCATGAAAATAGTGTTGAAGTTGCCAATGCAAATTTTTCCATACATGGAAATTCCACCATCCAAATCCTCCACGATAAGGTCTTTCTAAATTCCATAGCAGACTCAATAATGTCATTCATCATCAGTATTGATCATTAGTCTAGCAGACATTTACCCACCCACTAATTATCGTCCATTGAAATTGTGATGTATTTTTATGCATTGAACAATGAATCATGAGCTCCACTGTCACTTAGATCAGCACGATCACCAGTAATGATGAATAGCATTATTATTTAGAACTTCAACCATTTCCCTCTCTCTGGCTGTGTAACTAATTGACTTCTGCTTGGCTTTTACCTTTAGATTGGGAAATCAAATCTGGGACTCGAAATTTCAACAATGTCAAGAAGGCTCAAGCATTTGATCTGTGGATCCGCATGCAGTGAAGTAGAATCGAATATAGATTCCGAAATCCAATCAGATATTTGGGGATTTGGAATTCAAGACTTCATCGATGCCTATATGAGTTTGGAATGTTATCAAACTTATGAAAATATGTGATTTTTTTTTATGTAGAACTTGATAATAATTCGTAAGCAAAATAGGGTAATAGATATTAGTCAAAGAATCATTGTAAATTGTGGTGGATGAAACGAAAATTCCCAGGAAAATCTTTTGGCTGTAAGACTGTGTATCATAGTGCTTCGCCAACAAGGTGCCCCATGGGAGGGTCATCCTCAGTCCCATTAAAGTTACTAGCGCCTTGTCTACTACTGTCAGGGGTCATTACTATTGCAAACTATTTTCCCAGTGAGGTATCGTCGAAAGGTACAGATTGGCTATGTTCTCATGATTGGATGATTGAATAAGACTTAAATAAGAGTTGGGGTAAGGCTCCATGTCCCCCTCTTTGCATTTAATTTTTTTCGATATACATAGTAAGAGTATAGCGCCTCACGACAAACCCTCATTGGGAAAAAAAAAAAATATATATATATATCGCTAGAAATATTTACTTCATAAAAAGTAGATATAGTAAGTTTCAACAATAATTAATTTTGTTGATAAAAGTTAGATATAAGTTGGTAAAGGTTACCTCTGAAGAAAGTAACTAAGATTTTATTAATAGTAGAAAAATTATGAGTTACTCAAATACGTTTGGTACTGAAAAATTGCTTAAATTTAATTTTGCTTTTTTTATGTTTAGACAAACATGTTTAATAAACTCTAGGGCTGATACAGAATGAATCAGATGAGGGACTGGTAAATTTCTTTAAGAGGACCACAACAAAATGGAAAAAAATAAAATAAAATAAAAGAAAAAACGCTGTTACAAAATGCACATCAAAGAGACATTCGGATCAAATGCACAATGACAAAGTTTTGAATATTTTGAGCTCTTTCAGCACATTTTTTTCTCCTAGTCCTTGAAAAGAAAATTATGACAAGAGTGAACTCGACAAGATAGCCAATAATAAACAAAGTAACAGTTCCATTGCAGCACATGTATAGCCATTCCCAATTGTGTTACATGCTACGGCACATGGACAAAGAATCACCAAAGATTATTGATCCCACAAGTCTAAACTAACTCCAAACATTTGTCATCATCTGAGCCCCATAGGGAAATAAAGTTAGCTAAACAAAGACAAAAATACTGAATACAGTCACTTTTCAACATCTATTCTGCTTTTTTTACCATGATCCTGTTTGGGAGTGATTTTGAGAATTAATTTTTTGACCGTTAGGAGAAAAGTGGGGTCCATCTGTGAGAGAAGAAGTCAAATATGATGATTGAAATAGTGAAATAACGATAAAAAAATCAATTTTTTGGGTAAAAAAATCACTCCCAAACAGACTGCATATCTTTCTTTAACAAACACCCGAGAAGCCTGTATCACCCAAAACATGGTGGACTACTAAACGTCACACTAACTCTGCTACACTGTAATTTTTAAAGTACGTGAGGAACATTGGAAAAATAAAAATAAAAAGCCTATTTACATTTACCTAAAGACCTAAACTCTGCTTGAGACGTGCTATGCAACTGCGGCCTACTTGGATTATAGGAGAAAAAAAGTAGCCCTATATTAAGCCTCCTTCGATAAAATTTATAAGTAATTCATAAATAATTAAACTTCATTTTCAATTATACATTTTAATTGATTCATAAGTACTATTCACTTATTCACCATTCATTCTATCTATTTATGTTAATAATTCTAACCAAGTAGCTATGCACGCTAACAACAGTTGTTAGAGAATACTGAGGTATATGACAAAATACTAAGTATAAATTACAATACAACAAGAACACGAAAAATTTGACTGAAGAATAGAAAATTATTATAAATGAGAAAGAATTACAAAAATTGTGTGTTTATCATAATTCTAATGAAGTCTAACTTATTCTAACTAATAAGAAGAGCCAGTTATATATAGAGTACATGTTGAACCCTAATAAGAGAGTCCTGAAGATGGAAATAATATAAAAAATTGTGTGCAATAAAGAAAACAATATTGGGCGAACAATCATGGCGCTCAAGCGCAAAGCTCGAGGTAAGCAAGCGGCGAGCAAATCGCTTGAACGTTAGATTGGAGGTAGGGGTGATATCTCTCTGCTCAAAACTTCGTCCTGCCGCTTGAGCGGTAAGGTAGCAGTAATGTGGCATTTTTTCCTCCTTAATTCATATTTTGACCTCTTCAAAGCCCAATTTAATAAATTCACAAATATCAAATGAAATTTGTATCAAATTTTAACAAATCTCCATCTTGAACCAAATTTCAAAACTCTCCACCTAGAGACAAATTCCATCGCAAGACAAAAACTGAACTCTTTAATAAGAACATTGACCAAACTCTCTAGCAAACAAAATTCTTCACCTCTTCCACAAAGTCCAACTAAGATAAATGAATATGAACACAGCTCAGCAAAATTACTTCAAGTTTTCAAAATTTGCTCGAATTTGATCACCACAAGCAACTAAATCACAAATAATTCAAAAGTTACAAACGTGGCCGAAACACGTCCTAAAATAGAATCAACACTACAAAATACTTCTATAGAAGGTTCTTTGCTACACTGAACACCTTCAACTGCACTTACAGCATACCCAACTAAATCAACTTTCTCGTACCTATGTGGAGGTCTAATAATTTTTCTATGTTTGTCTCTAACCATTAAAAATTTAGGCATCGTAGGTGGTGACAGCAAAGCGACATTATCCATAACTTCTGAACTTGACTGAGATATATTTTTTAACACGGACTCCAAACCAAACTCTATCAGTACTGTACCAAACTGAATGTCTACCAACGTACTAACCCTCTGCTGATTGATCTTTGAAGATTCCGAAAAATCTTGCACGACATCCAACTATAACCTTCGTTGCCCCTCCAATATAACATGGGTACCATTACAAACCTTCAAGACTCCACCTTCACTAATGAATTCGTACCCTTTGAAATCAAGAGTAGTCAAGGAGATAAGATTTCCACTCAAATTTGGAACGTGTCATTGCATCAAGCATTCTGACTGTCCCGTCCAATATATTAAGTATGACCCTTCCTATACCAGTTACTTTACAGGGTGCTTGGTTGCCCATAACAACAATACCTTTCAAAACTTTTTCATTTGTTGAAAATAATTCCCCGATTAGGATACATATGAAAGGTGCAAGCTATATTGAGAATTTAATCCTCATCAGTTTTGGAATCACCATCAGAAATAACCAAAAGTTCTTTATCACTCAAACAGTTCTCTACAACATTGGCTTTACTTGAAGTTTTTGAATGTCTTTCCTTTAATTTGCAGCCAATTTTTCTTTTATTTTGCAACTTGTAGCAATCCTTCTTTATGGGTCATTTCTTCTTGCAATAGTTACAAATTTGATTACTGAAGTTAGATTTCAATCTACCCTCTCATAACCACCATGAACAATAGGGCCTTCTCATTGAGCCTCAGATCCAACAAAATACTTCATATTTTCCTTTGAAAATAAAGTATCATATACTTCTTCAACAGTGAGAGTATCATAATTGTATAATATCATATTTCTAAACGACATATATGAAACGAGCAACGAACACAATAAAATCAAATCAAAATCCTCTTCACCATACTTATCTTCCAAGGTTTCCAATTAGTGACAATTTCTTTAAAGACAGTAATGTGATTTTCTAAGGATGTACCTTCTATCATATGATGAGAATACAAACGCCGCTTTAGATACAATCTGTTAGTTAGATCTTACTCATGAAAAATATTATTCGAAAGATGAAGATAAATTTATGAAAAGGCCTTTTGATCCATTTGTTGTTTCTCTTTCAATGTCCAAGTTGTGGGCATTTTGTAAAATCTCAACAAAGTGTCTTCCAATTTCATCTGAGTGAGTGCTACTCATATCTTCACTTGTCACAATTCGAATCTATTGCTGCGATCTAAAAGTGAAATATCATAATTCATGGTTGCCATTACATGAACAAAACCTTGAACAAATCAAACAGCTCTGATACCACTTGTTAACAATTCTTCTTCTAACCAAGTAACTAGCGCACTAATAGAGCTTGTTAAAGAATAAAGAGGTATATGACAAAATGTAAAATAACGATTACAACACAAGAAATTTGGCACAGGAATGGAGAATTATTATTAAGGAGAAAGAATTTAAAAATTGTGTTTTTATCAAAATTCTATTGAAATCTAACTTGTTCTAACTAAAAATAAATAAAAATAGAAGAGTAAACTAGATATACGGGTGCATGTCAAATCTTAATAAGAGTCCTAAAGATGAAAATAATATTAAAAATCGTGTGAAAAATAAAAAACAATCTTAGGCCGGACAAGCATAACGCTTGAGCGCTAGGCTCGTGATAAGTGAGTAGCGAGTAGTAAGTAGGCAACAGCCCTCTGCTAAAAATTTTGTCCTGCTGCTCAAGCATTAAGCTACGACAATGTAACATCCTTTTCTCTTTGATCTTAGACCTTTTCAAAGCCCAATTCAATAAATCAACAAATACCCAATGGAATTTGGGTCAAATTTCAACAATTTATAATTTTTTTCCAAAGGAGGCTAAGACTTGATATTCCATCTTAACATGTTAACCCCGCCACCCCCCTCTTTAAATGTCAATGTTTTTAAAGAAATAATCCAAACTCTTATATGTTGATATTTATTTCGATATTTAATCGATATGAAATTTATTTCTTAATCGAATATCTCTATTGGTTGTGGCACCATATAATTAAAACTTGGGATTTCATATTAGAAGGGTAACCTTGTTACAAGGAGTAATCCTAGTTTAGTCTATATTTTGGTTATTAACCACTCTTTAATTTATCACCGTTTTCACCTTTCACTGTTCATATTTCTATTTTTGATTATTAGACCAGGGTTTGAGATTCTTGTGTTGCCCAAGGGAAGATTAAGGTGTAATCTTTAGGTTTTTGCCCACTATAGCTTTGATTTGCAAAGTTTTTTAGGGTTTCCTTCATTGTGACGGGTCAAAATTTGCATGACAGTTGTTAAGTTTTCTAGTTAATGTCTAGCAGTTGTAATCCTTATTGAAACAGTATAGTGCAGTGTCAGCATATCCACTTTGTGGGGCTCCAGTATTTATGTCAGTTTAGTTAGTGAGCTGGATGATTTATCGAAGTTTTACGGAATACTTAGAATGTTAAATGGGTCGAGTCGTGACTCAACTCTACTCACCCTACCATGTGAGCCAGTTAGCACTCGCATATGTGGCAGGCTGAACACTAGTTGACTCATCGATTATGAGTTTGCTAGTGAGTAGACGAGCAACTGGCATGAACTTTTCGTTGTTCAGTTTGTGTTCACATCTTGCCTCGGACAAGAGCAGCATAGTTGACTTGCTTCATGAAGATGGTATTGAGGTCGCTTTTTTTGTTTATATTTTT